CAGCACCATTCTCCAACCATTCTGGGTCCTTGCATTCCAGTCCAAAATGAGCCAAGTGTTCTCTGATGGAGGTCACGGCACGACATCTTCATTGACATAGATGTCATTGATGTAAGCTGATGCTGCGTGCTCAATGGTGGCTTCTTGCGACATCACTGTGATGACAATAGCCTTCATGATATGGGGAGCTACATTTAGGTCAAACCCTAAATATGTCAGGCAGTACTATTTCCCATCACTCTTCATGGTCTAGAATGGCCACAGCATCTCATGGACATATACTAAGAGGCAAGTGCTCCTGAAGTCCAGTAGAGATACATTCAAACCTTTCTGCTGTTATTTGTGTGGCATAGCTGTGCAAATATCTGCATTAGCCATGAACACCTCAACATGATGGTTGAACTCTTGGCAGTCCATCACAGGACATCATTCTGCTGCAGTACAGCCATCAGAGGAATTAACCCTTTGGAAAACCCCAGCTTTTCTTCTGGGTATGGCATGAACCAACCATTGTCTATCCACATGTGGAGCTCTTGCTCATAGTCCTTTCAGATCTCTGCAGTTACTGTTGATACTTTATTTTGCAACCCTTCAGGTGTGCAGTCCTCTGACCCTGTGCACAACCTTGCTGCATCAGTAGTAATGTGTTCTGTGTTTTTGGCAGCCCTTTGTTATGTGACCCTTGCCACTGCACCTGTAGCAGGTTACATTGGTGCTGGGACTGCTCATGGTAGGAACTATGGTATTACTCTGGGGTGGGCACATGGCTGCGACCAAATCTTTGTTTTGATCCCCAGTCGTCATCAGCACTCTTGCTCTTATTATTAGGTCCCCCTCACCAGTAAATGGCTAAATCATATCTCTGTTTATGCATACCTTCGCCACAGTAATGGTGCCAAAATAGCTTGTAGCAGGAAACAGTTTCTTCTGTAGTACAGACTCTGGTTTAGCACACGCCACCATGCACTGATCTCAACTGTGCTGAGCGCAATAATTTACTGCCGTCCCAACATACACTCAAATTTTCTCTAAAACCTCATTGTTGCTCACATGTTCAGTCCATGGTATCTTCAGCATCCTTCTGTAGAGCCACATTTCTGTTGCTTAAAGTCTTTTCTTCATATTTGAGGGAATTGTCCAGCATTTACTGCCATATCAGAGGACAGATATCTCGTAACAGTTCAGTATTCTTTTCTTTCTTTGTAACAAAGTTTTTCTGTCTCTCAACACTTAGATTTTCAAATGCATCTTTAGCTACCTGATAAGTCTTCAGATCTCAATGTCATGCTTTCTGTCCCCTATTAGAACAATTTCCCAGATTTGTAAATTTATCATTTGCATTTTGGGCTCATCCTTTTGTGACTTGCCTCTAAAATCAGCATTAAAATTTTTGGCTTTTATACTGAGTTTTAGCCTTTGTGTAACTAATTACATGAGTACCCACATAAATTCCTCATACATGAGATGGTGTTGAAAAATTCTTGAACACCCTACCACAGTTCGGTATTTCAATGATTAAGCACCAGCATACAGAACTATGGAAATTGGCTACGTTGTGAACTTTTCAATTCACAGGGTCTAAAATACAAGATACCAAGTTAAACACAAGCACACACACTCATTTTATATATATATATATATATATATATATATATATATATGTGTGTGTGTGTGGTTTTTATTGTTGAGTTGATGGATTCAACCATTTTCTTTCGATTTCTTGATATAGCTGTGTATGTTGGCTTGTGAGAGTAGTATTTCTGTTAGGAAAGGTGATATTGAGAAAAAACTGGGCATAGATTAATATTTGGATAATACTTCTACATGTGAAAGTATTAGACGTAATTTTCAATTGACAATATGAATACACTAGCGCTTTCTAAATTCTAGTTGCTAAGGACATTTTGTTTGTTGTTAATAGTTACTTTGTTTTCAATAAATTTATTTTGTTTTTGTCTTGAAAAAGTCCACATTGGCCAAAACGCATTGGTAATAATCTAGTCTTCCTATTGTCTTTTACCTTTATACATATTGTCTTTTTCTACAGGTTAACTGAGAAATTTTTCATATTATATATATTTTTATATATATATATATATATATATATATATATATATATATATATATAATAAATCCATTGGTATATAATCCAAATGGATCCTAATAATATCAAATATTAAAACTGATCCACAGAAAGAGCTCAATGTATTTATTATAACAGAGCAAATAAATTACACAAGAAAATCCAAAATTACCTCACATGGGAGAGGGGATAGATCTATTTCAACCAACGTGAAATATACTGGTCTTATTCAACTCCTGTTGACGGACTGTGCTCATATCAGAATTAAAGATTTAAAATTTTGACAGTAGTTGAAAAATAGATACAGAACCTATCCATACCGACATCTCAGTCAGACAAAATACCTGAGTCAGTGGTAAGGTGAGGGTAGAAAGTATCTGTCTTAAAGAAGCTCCACAAATTCAACCCAGATATTAACCTTATGACCCTAAATTGGGATTCTATGAAGAATGAGGTGTTGAATTGAAACTAAAAGAGGGCTGAAAAGGGAGTTTTATATATAAAAATAAATTACATTATATATATATATATATATATATATATATATATATATATAAATATATATGTATACATACCTACCTAAATGAGATATATATTAACTAGATTAACAGTCAATCATGTCTGGATAATTTATATTAAGTAATATATTTAATATAATTAATTTTTATATTAAAGAATAAAAAAAAATTTTAAAACAAAAATTATCCATTTCTAACTTCAAAGATAAGTTAAAATATAAAAAGAACCAAACCATACCAAGTTACATATATCTATATGAGTTTAGCTAATGTAATATCTTTCTATTCATGATAATATATTCTGGCTATTTTAATGAATAAAAATTCTCTATTGGTGTATCTCACCTACAATTTACAACATGTTTATTCAACAAATTTATTATAATTTCCATTTCAATGAATTATTATATCCTCAGTTCAAGTTTGGATTCAATATATATTGTAACAAAGATTGCCTGTTATGTTATTTTTTTTTCAGAAGTATGACAATATTTGACACACTATAAGCATGTTTGTATTAGGGGTGTGTAAACATCCCAGGGGACTATCCATTTTTGGAAATCCAAGGTGACTAATGCAGGGTTAATCACCTGAGAATATGATTGTTTACAGGTGAGAGTTTAGACAATGTTACACAGATGTACATTTCAGTTTCTTTCAAACTGTGTGCATCTGTGAATTTCCATGTGTGCTTATGTGCATTTTCATATGACAAACCTAAAAATATTCTACAAAATTAAAAAAAAAAGAAAACTTGAAAAAATAATTGTTTATTGCTGAATAGTTTCCACAAAGTTAAAAAAAAAAAATCTTATAATTGTCCAACATTTTAAGGTTTAAAAAAAATGTTTATTCCTTATTTACTCTATTAATATTCAGACTATTATCCTCATCTTTGTTGTTATCATAACATTTCAGCCGTTGCATCCCTCCCCTCCCCAGCCTTCATCAAGTGCATATTGATTTGAGTTACCTAAAGGGAATTCTGAACTGAACCCTTTATCTAATCTATGGGGGTAGACTGTTCACTATCCATTGCCCATGTCTAGGGATATCTTGTCTAGTTCTTATTTTTAGTACTACTCAGTTATTGCTCATTCTATAGGTTACCTGGATGGATATATTCAGGGAACTCTGAACTGAACCCTTTACTTAATCTATGCAGATAGACTGTTCTCATTCCACTGCCCATGTCTAGGGATATCTCGTCATTTTTAGTACTGCTCAGTTATTGCTCATTCTGTAGGTTATCCAGATGGATATATTCAGGGAACGCCAAACTGAACCCTTTATTTAATCTATGCAGATAGACTGTTCTCTATCCACTGCCCATGTCAAGAGATATCTTGTCTTGTTCTTATTTTTAGTACTACTAAGTTATTACTCACCCGTTTCCACAGAGTTCAAGTACACACTGTTCCACTGCCCATGTCTAGGGATATCTCATCTAGTTTTTAATTTTAGTACTGGCTATTGATTACTCACCTGTTTCCACCAAGTCCAAGTACACACTGCTCGGCCGAGGCATTGAATTCACAATTACTATATCAGCAAATTCCCGAACCAAAACAGGAATAGATAGGGTTGCCTATCATCCAGTTCACACTCCTCTTTTGAACAGGAGTAAATATTTATCTCTTGTTTCCTGTTTAGAATTAGGTTTCCAGTTCCTTCTAAAATCTTCATTCTCACTCCCAGTAGCCCTTTCGACCTTAGTGGCTTTATTGCCTTGGAAATACAACATGTCCAACAAAGTAAAACTGACAACTGCTCTTAAAAAGGAACACCTAACTGGTGATTAATTGGAGCAAGGAATGGCTTGTAAATTTTAATGCCTTCAAAACAAAACTGCTTTCATTTAATCACTACAGAGAAGCTTTTCTGCCTGCTATAAGTATGGCTGATGCTAACATCCAGGAGAGGAAACCTTTGTGGCTCACATTTTCCATTGACATGATGTGGAGTGGTTATATTAAATCAACCGCTAAATCTGCTGCTAAGAAAGTTGGTTCACTGTGTTGTGCCAGACAATTTTTTTCATCAGAATTCATCTTGCATATTTACAAATTTACCATTCTTTGCTTTGAATACTACTACCATATCTGGTCTGGGACTCCTACTATCTGTCTTTTGTATAAACATTTTCATGGCACTTGCTCTAAAGAGATCTTCCTCTTCCTCCACGGTACAAGTATCATATTCGCCCACACTTTCAAATCAAATAGATTTTGTCAAATTCCTTGGATAACTCTCCACCTAGAAATTTAACAATCTTTAAAAGAAATTACTTTCCCATGGCTACTTGTTTTTGAACACACCCGTCTAATAAGACGTCTACCTAACACCTATCATAGATATACATTCATATCTCTTCAACACCCACATAGCCAACATGTGGGTTATACCACAACTACACAGAGCAGATTTTGGTGTGAAAGGAAAAAAAGTAAAGAGAGTAAAATGTAAATGAGAGAGAGAGAGAGAGAATGAATGATAGAGGAGGAGGAAGGGAATGAATGATAGAGGGAGGGAGGAAGGGAATGAATGATAGAGAGAGGGAGGGAAGGGAATGAATGATAGAGAGAGGAGGAAGGAATGAATGATAGAGAGAGGGAGGGAAGGGAATGAATGATAGAGAGAGGGAGGGGAAGGAATGAATGATGAATGATAGAGGGAGGGGAAAGGAATGAATGATAGAGAGAGGGAGGGGAAGGGAATGAATGATAGAGAGAGGGAGGGGAAGGGAATGAATGATAGAGAGAGGGAGGGGAAGGGAATGAATGATAGAGAGAGGGAGGGAAGGGAATGAATGATAGAGAGGGAGGGAAGGGAATGAATGATAGAGAGATAGAGAGAGAGAGAATGAATGAGAGAGAGAGAGAGAGAGGTCTCATTGCTTGCATTGATATTTATAAATTTCAAAATTCAGCTCCAAATTGTAACCCATAACTTTGTTTAGCCCAGGAAAGTTCAACAAGTTTTGAATAGCATGTGTGTATTCCTTCCAATTTATCATTCTTTGACTTTTGACCTGCTTTATTTTCACACTGTTACAATTTAGAAATTTCCAGAGCTGTTAATTTTTCCTCCCACATATATGATAAAGAACTGTGCATATCTGCTGGCCTTTTCAACAGTGAGGGTCTGTATGTGAGATGCTGAGTGACTCACACATTCTTTCATTTCAGCCTCAAATTTTGACACTGATATATGAAATAGCAAACAACACATACACCTGATCATTTCCCCAAACATTTTGGTCCCCCAAGACTTAAAAAAAAAAAAAAAGAAAAAAAAAATCTAATGTTTAGTTCTAAGGGGACCCATCCTGCAAAAAAGCACTTCCTCATTGCAAAATAGAGAAAGATTATAATATACTCCTTCCCATGGGAGGTGTGTGTTTGTGTGTGAGTGAGTGTGTTTGTGTGTATGAGAACAAGTCCCTGTATATTAAATATGCCTCCCCACTATCAAACTCACCTTGTTTAACAATGGGAGTGCTATGCAGAAAATTTATTTTTTTTTAAAATAAAGAGATGCTCACTTGAATTCCAGTTGTTCTTAACATGTGAAAGCTCAGAGTAAATGCTGCTACTTTTCTTTTCATGTGCCATGTCGTTTTATGGCTCTCCACTCCTCCCTCTATCCCTTACAGCTCTCAACAAGTTCCTTCCCTCTACTTCCTCCCCCCAAAACTACATTCTGTCATCCACTTGCTTTAGCCCGCCAGGTATGTCACACGTTCTTTTCCCTTGTCTGTCTTTCCATCTATTTGACCAGTAAGTATCAGATTCTCCAGGCCCTCCTTCCTCATTATGTATCCCAGAATCTTCAGCTCTTTCTGATGTTAAGTATAAGCCTCCTTGTTTGTAACCTTTCTAAAACCTCATTGTTGCTCACACACTCAGCCCATGATATCCTTAGCATCCTTCTGTAGAACCACATCTCCATTGCCTCAAGTCTCTTCGTCTGTGAGGAAATTGTCCAACATTCACTGCCATAAAGAAGAACAGATGTCACGTAACAGCTCAATATTCTTTTCTTTGTTACCAAAGAAATCCTCCTTTCTTGCAATATTCTGCCCAGCTTTTCGAATACGTCCTTGACCATCCCAATCTGTCTATGGATCTCAGTGTTGCACTTACTGTCCTGTGTCAAGATGCTTCCCAGATATTTAAACTTCTACATCTGCTTGATTCTAGTGTTCCCGACCTGCAAATCACATTTCGGGCTCTTCCACTTACTGATGATCAAGCATTGTCTTGTAGTTTATGTTTGGTCCTTTCCTCTCACTCTCTGTTGCTACCTTCTGTAGGAGATTTTGTCACTTCTTTTATGTGTCTTCTATCAGTACTGTGTCATCTACATAACTTATGTTGTTAAGATTGTGGCCGCCAATGCTAAATCCTGGTAGAGTTTCCAATTCTCTCAGAATTGCCACGCTGTATAGGTTGAACAGGTCAGGTGAGAAGTATATTCACTGAACTCGTTCCCTATGCGAATGCATGTTGTTTGCTGCCAGTATAGGTTCTTCATTATTCTGATATCTTTCCTGAATATATCAAGATTGCTGAGCAATTCCATCAGATCTTTGTGGTGTACTTTGCTGAAAGCCTTTGTGTAGTCTATGAAACGTAGGTACACGTCCTTCAGCATTTGTATCACTCTTTCTGATAATGGTCTGAGCATGAATATCATGTTTCTTTTTTTTTTGTTTTTGTCCTATCTCTGGCCTGACTCTGCTGTGTATCCTATTCATTAGAATACAGATGATGAGTTTTTTTATGTGGATCATTAGGCTTATTTTTCAGTGGCGTTCACTTTCTTAGGTATAGCTATGAAGATAGATCTGCTGAGGTCTTCTGGTATATCCCTGCTGTTTTAGATTTCATTTGTTATTTTAGTGATTTTGTCTATGCCAAAGTCATCTAAGGCTGTCAACATTTCTGTTACAATTCCGTCTGGCCCTGCTGCCTTGTTTCTGTTCAATTTGGCCAGTGCAGCTTTTGCTTCAGTTTTCAGAATTCCAGGTCTGTCAGCGGTTCTGTGTATTGCTAGTTGTTCCCTTTCATTGTGGAGGAGTCCTCCAATATACTCACTGCAGCATTGAAAAATTTTTTCCTTCTCTAATATGAGTGTTCCATCCTTTGATTTTAGACAGCTTATTGACGAGCATGTCTTCTACCCTGTTAGTTGCTTTATTTGCTTGTGCATGTCTCTTTTGTTGGCAGTACTCAATCTTTCTATTTCTGCACATTTTTCATTTAGCCATTCTTCTTTAGCTTTGCCTGCATTTGGTCCTTATTTCATTGGGTAATTTTCTGTACTCTGTATCTTGTTGAGAATCTCATCAGTCATCCATTCATTTTTTCTTCTTCATCCTGTCTCCTTTGGGAAGCTATTGTTTGATGATGTCACTAAAGTGTTTCTTAGTGCATTTTGAGTTTCCATTCTGTGCCTCATATCTTTTCACATTGTCCATATATTTTTCTTTTAGGTTAGGGTCGCTCAGGAGTTTGCTATATTGCAGTTTGGGTGCTGCATTAGGCTTCTTTAATTTCCAGTTTCACTCTTAGTTTAAATAGAAGAGGGTGATTACTAGTATTCAAATTACAGCTCAAACAGTTAAAACATAGAAAGAAACTAACACCAAATCAAAATCCATTTGAAAATGGCTAACGAAGTGGTCAAAAGCACTTGGGACAATGGATGGTATGGACAGTTTTTATACTCACTCATTCCTAATAAATGGAAAAATTTAAGATTGATGAAAAAAAAATAAATAAAAATTTCCTTGTCCATCATATTTAACAAAAGAAATGTTGCTGCCCACATATATATATATATATATATATATATATATATATATATATATATATATATATATATATGTTGCATATCTTCATTCAAAGAGGTTTCATTGAATAATAAAGACATGTATTTATCTTAGTAATAATGCCTTCCAGTTGTTTAATAAATTTCTTGGTGTTAAGATAAAATTTAACAAGGAAGCCAGCAAAGTTTTTTCTAGTCTAAGTACTTTTGATCTCCTCCAATGACATCAGGGGTGAATTACAACGACAAACTTATTGTAATTGAGATACAATCTGCATTTCATTGTGATGGTGATTTTAACGAAACATGCATGAACGAGCTTGGTCATAATTATTTTAAAATTTTTTCATTGTAGCTATGGAAATTTTTGCAAAACAAGTGTCCCAATGTAAGGGAGCTGACCAGAAATTGGTAGGAATGCAAAATGGCATTAAATGTTGGTTAAATGCACCTCAAAACATTCCTGCTACACTCATAATAAATCTTGTTGTGTGTTGGTTGGTGGTTTTTGATATAGAGGCCCTTGAGAATTTGAAGCTTTTGTTTATTATTTTTGTGGTGTATGGTGTATATATATATATATATATATATATATATATATATTGGTGTTGTCAATAAGTATTTTCTTGTATGGTGAAGGTGGGAAGGAATGTGTTTATAGATGTTGTGAAGACACATGAAATATAAGATGTCTTGATAATGTTGTGGTCATTAAGCTAACATATTACTTACTTTTTTTATCAGAGATACAATCTCCAAAAGGACATTTAAACTGCTATACAACATTGGTCTTTTCCAAAACACTAGTTGATGGAGAAGAGTTATTGCATATGATTAAGTTGGTTAAGTTAAATTTATCATATTTAATTAGTTTAATTTTTTTTTTTATTTATTGAGATCATATATATATATATATATATATATATATATATATATATATATATGGTGCAAATGTAAATTGTTGACATTTTATATTTGTAATTTTGTGCATCTGCATTGTTTTTGTCAACTGCACAGTATAGTTGGGTCAGTTGGGCCACTGTCTCTGAAAAAAAAAGAACATCATGAAACAATTCACTCTGCCAGAAATTTGGAAACAGCATGCTGTACTGCTTGGCATTTGCACTGGAAGTGCAAATACGAACATTTCAGAGTGTTTGAGTGTCAATCTGAAGAGAGTGGATTTGGAAAGAGTTGGATGAGTATAAGAGTGATTACAAAGAAAAAACTGATCATTCTGGTAAGACCCTGGAATTTGTTGGTGAGGGCTTCAGATGCAACACGAAGTGCCTTGAGGAGATAGTGCTGCCCTGAGTAAAGTGGGTGGTTGCTGGAAGACGCTATGTCAGGCAACAGGATACTCCACTGTGCCACGCAAACAGGAGAACCCAGTCATGGCTGTCAGACAATTTCTGCAAAAACATCACCCCTTACATCTGGCCACCTAACTCCCCAGACTGCAACCCCCTTGATTATTGTGTGGGGTGCAGTTGAGCAAGAGACCAACAAAACTCCTTTTAAGACCAAAGATAAACAGAAGGCAAAGATTATGGCAGCATTCACCAACTGAAACAAGGTGACTGTCCAGAAGAGTTGCAGGAGATTCCAAAGTCGTCTGGAGGCTGTGGTAGAATCCAATGGTGATTTTATTGACTAAATTTACTCTTTAGTATTTCAAGATATTTTTGTGTAATTTTGGTAAATATATCTTAAAATGAGATGTCAGTGTTATTTTCATTTTTGCATAATTTTGACAATTTATCTATCGCACACTATGTGTGAGAGCATGAGTAATAGAATAACAAAATGGAAAAATTCATGTAATACATTTCATCCTTTAACAGGACTTCATCAGAATCTTTGTTTGAATTTTGAGGATGAGGAGTGTCTGTGCATTGGATACTGCTGCCACATCTAGTCTAATGCTCCTACTATATATCTTGAGATTCTTGACAAAATCAAAAAGAGTCTGCAATGTTATCAGTCTGGACCTGGCATATCTGAATTTCTGGGATGAGGAGTTATTATTTACACACAAACTACTGTCCTCATCTTTGGT